ATATACATATACATACATACACTGGCCTATGCAGCAAAGATATTTTAACAGTTTGAGATGCTGTGTAAGTTAGCTGATCCAACCTACCAGCGATCTGGGCAATGGCATTGATGATGTCATCAAACACTGGAAATCAAAGTGGGAAAAACGACACAATGAATACGGTACAGAAACCTAATATGACAATACCAAGAGCTAATAGCTGACCCATCACAACACTAAAAATTTACCTTTGCCTGAAATGTCAAACACAGATGTGTCCTTTCCTCTGTCGTCACTGAGTACTGCCTTGTAAACACCATGATCTTTTCTGGAGAACTGAATAAAAACAAGGTTATTTTATATTACATTATATTTTTCAGTGTGGATTGTGCAGATGTTACCAGTGGGAGGGGAAGAGCACAGGATCCAGACATGACATTGGGGGGAGTATCTGGAACAATCTCCTCATCGTCTTTGTACCAGTGTAAAGTTGACTCCTTCTTCACATTAGCCACCTGACAAGTACAAAGATTAAAGGATTTTGTTTTTACAAGAAAGCAAAGCAATAAGAAGTGAAACAGAATCAATGAACATGTGGAAAGCACATCTGACATGTGGTTCAGAGTTACAGGAAATCCTACATAATTACGTGGTTTTGTTACCTTGCAGACGAGCATAACAGTACAATCCTCGGTGACAGTAAAATATAGATACTCAGAGAAATGTGGGCCTACAAGGACAAGGACAAGAACAAAGAACCACATGAATGACATAAATTAAGGCCGCACACATCTCTAAATCCATTATTTTACTCAAACTTGCTTACTACTTGTGCCAAAGTCATCAAAAATATTCATACCTTGCTTCCTAATGTGCTCTTTCCTCTGAAACTCAGCCTCCTTCAGAGCAGCCTTGAACACTGAATGAGTAAAAAACAGACACAGATGAAATGCTCGCTGTGCTGCCCTTTTGGTTGGTGCAATCAGAGAAACAGAGGTTTTTATAAGTTTCCAAAGTAGTATTCCAACACGAGTTATATGGACTTCTATGTGAGAGATGGAAAACTCTCACCATCTCCGACCAGGACCAGGGAGCTCTGGGTTTTGGCCTTGCCATCATGGATCTGAACAGTATATGTGCCCTCATTGGCTCTGGTGAAATGATCCACTGTCATCTGGATGATTCCAGTGGCCACATCGTGACTGATCTTCTGTCCCTAAGAGGAATGAAATGATGAAAATATTAAACTATGAGAATTTCAATGTGTTTAAATACTTTTGCCACTCATTTGTAAAAAAGAAAAGACTACTTTACAGTATCTGTTCTGCTTTTAAGAAACTAGAATAATATAATAAAAGATTTGTAAAGTTTCATTGTCTTTGTTCAAGTTACATATGGGTTCCTTTACATATTTAGCTAAACTTTACTTTTCTTAGTAGTCATATTATCATGTGGAAACATTTTATTTTGAATGAAACTAAAGAATAAAAATGAAGTGAGCCTGAGCTGACTGCTTGGCAAGAATGATGTTTGTGTGTTTGTCTGGTTGGGTTTTTCTGACTGAATGCTGTTTGAGATCATATCAGTTCAAGAATGATGTGAACCAAAGCTGGGAAAAAGGAGAACAAGAAATGCAGGAAGTTTTACTCTTAAGTCCTCAACTTCATATTTATGTCATGTAATGGAATGTGTAGAATGAAAGTCCAAAACGCAAACTTCAGATGTAGACTCGATGAAACAAAAGGCCAGCTGCTGATTTAGCTGATGAAATCCAACTTAGATGCAAACTGAAGTTAAATAATACAAGATGCAAAGTAACTAAATCCAGGAAACCAGAAGAAACATTCCAGGAAACAGAAAGGGAAATATGACATGACAAGTAAACACACCCAAACTAAGGCTTTAAATACACACAGGGCGGCTGTAGCTCATGAACAGGTCATCCACTAATCGATCCGTGGCCGTTCTAGTCTTCATGCCAAAGATGTGGAACCTTGAGCTGCTCTCGATGCGTGAATTGTGAATGTCAGAGAAAAAGCACTTAGATGTAGTGCATGTTTAAATGTGTGTGTGTGAATAGGTGAATTAGACATGCTGTAGAAAGCGTTTCGAGTCCTCGGGTACAATAGAAATGCACTATATAAGAACCATTTACCAGTTACATGCCGACACAGAGGGCAATCAGGGATGAGTGAAAACACCTGGGTAACAGAAAACAGCTGAAACCAATCAAAGACAATAATACAGGGGAAGTGAAACAAAATACAACACGAGACATAAATGACTATCAAAATAAAACAAAATAAAACACCCAAACAGAGAACACCTAACAGAGGAGACAACTTGACCAGATACACACAGACACTGGGAAGGCTAAAGGCTACACAAAGTGTCAGAAACATAAAAAATATTAAAGATTAACAGAAACCATATTACAAAGATAGTAAGAACTTAAGACTAAACATGGAGACATTACTAAAAGAATAAAATCATGAAAGTGATAAACTAAACTCTAAATAATCAAACTCAAACAACTAAAATCAAAATAGAGGATGCTTAATGACTAATAAGAATTCAATGTCCTAAAAGCAAGAGTTCAAAATATCTCGATGCGTGGGAATGTTCAATCATTCAGGTAAGAAAATCCCCAAAAGTTGATTCTGTTCATCTGCATGTAGCATTTTTGATGGGAGAAAGGACAGTGGGATGACTGACGAAACGCTTCTCCCACTGAGAACGCTACGTCCAGATGAACAGAATCAAGAATTCAAAATGTGTGATTGTATTTTTCTATTAGGACTGAAGAGACACAGAAGAGAAGACATACAACTCACTCATAATTAGATTTCACACTCACTCATTTCTGAAAGGTCGACACCTTACCTCCCCACTCGTGACTTCTTTGTCGTTGACAATGAATCTATAGGACACAGATGGTGAAAGTTTGACTGCCTGCAACCAGAATCGCACGTGTCCTTTCTCCAGAACCTCATAGTTCAGACCATGTTTCAGAGGAACAACTGAAAAAGAAAAAGACATTTAAAAATTAAATTAGTAAGAAACAAACTGGATGTAAATGGGTTTGATGGGGAGGCACAACACTCACTCGGATGTCTGATGGCATAGCTGAGCTCCAACATAGTGTTCAGGGCTGCGGGAAAGATTCAAGAAAACAAATATACTCATAAAGAAACAATTCGGAGCGAGAAGAACTAAGGGGCTCTGAATTATGAAATCTGATGTTTTTATGACTGCTTTTGACATATAGAGCAACTTGTAGACATGACTGACCATCCTCAGTGAGAGTATGGCTGGCAGAGACTCCATCTGTGTCAGTGACGATGACAGAGTATTTGCCCAAATCATCTTTATCAGGGTTAGTGAAAGTAAGTCTGGACCTGTGAAATAAAGGTAAGATCCATTACAGTCAGGACATTTAAAGCAGTTTTCAACTGGGATTCAACAGGATGTCAAACAAAAATTCTTTCACAAGTCACTGTAATTAATTCTTACTATAAATTTAATTTCCATTCAAATTTGCTGTTATTTAAAACAGTGGGTTTGTTACATTGTCATGTTACATATCCTAATGGTATAGTCCTCACTATTTCCTCATACTCTTATTAAAAATATTCTGGTACATTTTGGTCAGTCAAACTTTTTTTTACTTTAAACTTAAATCAGTAAATTCCCATTAAATGCTAAGGCAATACAATCACCTGTGACTTTTTGGCCAGCAAAAAATGCAAAAAAGTGGCCAATAATGAGCTTTTTTAGAAAACACTTGAATGAACTATTAGCTTTTTGAATGGAAACATAAAAACTTGATCCGGCTGTGTTTCATGTTTTCATTTTGAGTTCACCGAAGCAAGATGACAAAGCAAACTAGTTCAGGCCCCGAGGGAGAAGCTCATTGTTTGCGCTGGTGTATTTACTGAATGATTCATTAGATTCGTCCCGCTGTCACAAACGAAGGACACAGAACAAAGTCAAAGATCAAGCTTACGTTCTGCCTTTAGTTGTGACAGCCACTCTGGGACAGTCACTGATGAGTTTGTAGTTCTTCGACCACACAAACTTGGACGTCTCGCAGATTTCACAGGCCTCAAGAGACAGGAAGACATCTCCAGTCTCCTCATCCACACCAGCCACAATCTCCTTTGTGCCTGCAAATTACACGTGAAACCCTCCAGTGAGTAATAACAAAAATAAAATACTCGCTGTCATAAATAATCAGATAATAGTCAGATAATCTGTGTGGTTTTAATTCTAAACTTAGTGTCATAAATTAAACTGATAATCATGATATGAACAAATTCAATTTGCATTGCAGTAATTTGCATGTGTTTGCAGGGAGAAGTGATCAAAGATATTCACCTTCCAAAGTGTGTACACATCTTTTCAATGATATGTCAAATATTACAAAGTAAGGAAGAAAGCATTACTATGTGTCTGTAGAAATGAAAAAAGTAAACTACATGAAAGCACTACAGCCTCTATGTTTAGACTGTGTGAGAGAAATTCCCAAAATACTGTGATACCACACATAAGTTTTCATTTGTATATGAAATTTGATATCTCTAGTGAATGCTAAAGTTCTCTACTTAAAAATGCTTAACTGTAATTATCAGTGGTTTTGTGTTTTATGTCTGCTCATACGATGTCTAAGTATTTTAATAAAAGACAATTATCATGCTGTCGTCTCACATGTCTCTGAATGTTTTGCCAATATAAAGGATAAAGTGCAGAGCTGGCTGCACACGTTCAGTTTGTTTTCATCACCTGGAATAGCTTTAGCACAGACCGGCTCTGACAACTGGGAAGGTTTTCCAACACCGTGTGCATTGACAGCACGGACTCTGAACACATAGCTTTCACCTTCCTCCAGTCCAGTCACCTACGAAAACCAGGGAAATATCATCACATGGAGAGTGTGACTTGGGTGTGGAAAGAGGGTTGGCCATTTGTTGGAATATGCATGATGCACCAGATTTGCTACCTGCAGGTAACGGTGGCTCACAGCTTCCTGATTCACAGTGACGAACTCTGATGAGCCCTTCTTAGCCATGTCCACAAAGTATCCAGTGACAGCACTTGCTCCAGTATAAATGGGAGCCCTCCACAGGATGACCAGAGAGTGGCTTCTGACCTCACTGAAGCTCAAGTCATAGGCTGGGCCTTGAATTTACAGAAACATCATCAGTTCCAGAAAGAACACACGACGCACGAGCTGTAGTTGAACTGGAGTCAACGCAACTTAACTGACATTTTTATCAGTTAAGTTTTTTATTTTTATTTTTTGGGCTGGAATTCAAATGTTTTTTTTAACCTTTAATACATTTTAAAAGCCTTGGATGCTCATTTTATTGATACATTTGCAGGAGTTCAACAGGCATTTTGGTGAATTTGCCTCTGTCAAAACAACAGCTGCCATACTCACTGTGAGATGCAGAGATAACTCTACAGAATAAAGTCACATGGACAATCCTGTACCTGGCTCTTCCATGGTCCAAGCTTCACATTTCATTGGAACGCTGGCAGCAGATGGTAGACCAACACCAGCCATGTTACCAGCAGTGACCCTGAACTCGTAAAAAGTTCCCTCCTTCAGATTTTCCACCTAAAATAACATGTGGCACAATCATCAAATGAATGAATAAAGTAGTAATAATAAAGTGAGTAAATGTAAATTAATCAAATTTAGCTTTATCAAGTACAAGAAAAGAAAACTTTAAGAAAGAAAATCTTAATCTTGTGTCTGATTACTCACAGTGCACATTCTTTCTGTGACAGCGTTTAGGTTGACCTCCTTCCAGACTAAAGTGTCAGCGTCCCGCTTATCAATGTAGTAAGCGTTAACCTTGGAGCCACCACAGTGTTTGGGACTCTTCCAGGCCACAGTTATGGAGGAACCATCAGAACTCAGCATGGTGATCCCAAAGGGAGAGCTGGGAGTTGCTGAATTACAAAGTTTCACATTTAATGAAGCTTCATATTTAAACTTTGTATGACATCATCTTACATAACGTCTTTCAAAGTTCAACATTTTTTAATCAATCTAGGAAACGATGACTGTGATCGGCTGCATGTGAGCCTGTCATGCACTTTCTCACACTTCACTGAGCAGCCTGCAAAGTTTTATCGTAAAGTTTTCAACTCTTGTGCTGAGTAACTGTCAGACTTTGAAGTGTGAAGTGTTTTGTAGAGTCCTGTTAAAAATACGTCTCTGTGTGATCAAAACACAATAATGTAAAGTGAAAGGTGGATAAAGAGAAAGCTGTGGGTAAGTAAGGGGGGGACAAAAGTAAACACAGCTATTGAATACATACCATACTCAGCCCCCTTGCCTGCACAGAATAATGAAATGAATCACACTGAGCATCACGTTGGTTCAAGGACTCTGGTAATCTTAAGAAACACCATTTCTCTTAAATTATACATTCTCCAATGTATTCCTCTATTTTTTCAAAGAAATGTACATTTCTTTGAAAAAAATGACAGTTTCAAAGAGCGTTTTAACTTTTCAGAGGCAGCATATAAATCGCAATCATGAACTTGATAATACTCTTACCGAGTGCAGGCTCCACAGCAATGGGAGAGGACTCCTGTGACTCCTCACTGAGGCCAAAGAGGTTGACGGCTTGGACACGGAACACATAGGTCTCCCCTGGGATCAGGCCGTGCACCACAAACCTGAGGCACGCACACACTCATTTTTTAAATCAAATACATATAAAACCTCTTGAAGTCTTTCCTCTTGTTTCTATATATTTCTTTTTTTAAATATTATTTTG